TATGATCAATATCAGGATACTTGCATAATGGACTATAGAAATTTGGTACATATAGTCCAGCATTCCCCAATTTCAAGAAGTGACTAAAAATGAACACTTCCATCTCCCTCCAAGCTCTAGTCTAGATGTTAAGGTCTGCTTCATAACTGTAGCCAAACGTCCAGTGCTGAATAAACATAAAGCAAAGGAAAAAGAGAATACTGGGAAGTAGGACTTCTAAATCAGCCTCACATCAGAAGCTGTTCGGTGATGTCCAAGAACATCTCCTAAAATGTGCAACACATCATGTTTTTGTACCTTAGTAATGTATTTTCCATATTTTAGAAGTTTTTGTATTTGAGAGAAACAGATTAAACTAGCAGTCATGAATCTGTACTGCCAGCCAGGAATGTGTATATACTTGCAAAATGAATGCATCACCAATCTCATTTGCAGGACTAAAGTGTGTTACCTTGTAGACTTGTCTTTCTTCTCCCCCTCTTTATCAATTCTGCAAAGTGCGGCACAGTGAAATTATCTCTATGTTTTCCGTTTCACTTATTCTGTTTCTATGAATGAGAAAAAAGTCCTTTCACTTATGCATAAGAGCATATCTCCTCTCTTAAAAGAGATTGTATGTCAATAGACCATAATGGGTACAGCTATTAGAGAAACACTAATGTAATACCTAATTGTATTACTTATAATACTTGAAGCCAAATGCTTGAGAGCTCTAGTGTATTTAGTCTGGAACATTAATGTGCTAGCAGACATAGCCTTTCTTCCCCAGTTAGAAGGTATAGTTCTGTACTCAGTGTAATTCTGTGCATAGCTCTTGACCTCAAAAATATCCCTAGGCCTCTTTTAAATATTTTCCTAGATATCTCGGCAGCATGAGATAGTTCAATATCCATTCTTAGAATGTAGAATGGGAGGTTGGAGTGTATTCCAGCTATTCCTTCCTGTTGACAAAATAGCTTTCATAAGTAAATGAACAAGGATAATTTCCTACTCTCCTATAGTCCATTGATCATGATACCAATACCATGCTAGTGCATTTTGGAGTGTAATTTGTAGTGCTTATTTTTCTGGTTTTTCTAAACTACACAGCTCCTCTGCCATCTCATAAGTCCATTTGGCGCTTTCAGGGGGGAGGAGTTGGGATGTTTTCACCAAAATCATAAATTACTTCTACTGTACTTAAAATCATAGTATTGGAAGAAGGGCTCTCCAGTTCAACCCCCTGCCATGCACGAACACACAATCAAAGCACTCCCTACAGATGGCAATCCAGCCTCTATTTATTCTAATCAATATTGGTGATATTTTCTCTTTTCTATGCCAACAAGTCACCTGCATCTTACACACTATACTGCATCCAAAGTCCATGCTTCATCCAAATATTTACTCATAGCCATCTTCTAGCCAATGGCCAAATGAAACATAACAGCAGATGACATCACAGTTGACAACCATGATTTATCCTGTACAGAACAACTTATCTTGAAAGGGAGGACTGGATTAAACGGATTGCAAATAAGCACTTAAATCATAATTTAAACTGAACGGAAAAGGCTGGTTTTATGCATCATGATTTAAATCTACTAAACTCACTAAACAGAAGGCGGATAGTTGTTATGCCAGCTAGAACAATCTGGATTTTAATTGTAAGGAGGCTGTTTAGAACACAATCCAAAACTTGGAATTGTAAAGTCTGCATGAATTTTGCCCTACAAATGTTATATATCAGGCATGGCCAAACTTTGGTCCTCCAGGTGTTTTGTACTGCAACTTCCACAATTCTTAATAGCCTACCAAGTGTTAGGAATTGTGGGAGTTGTGGTCCAAAACACTTGGAGGTCCGAAGTTTTCCCATGCCTGTTATATATGCTTAAGGATGCAGGGCCAGTTGTGAAATTATACTTTCTTCAAATACAAACAAGAATATCAACCAATGTAGACTGAGACAAGATAGTTTCCAATTAAATAACATCACCATGATTACAAGAGAAAACACTTGTACAGTATATGTGACTCCATTTTAATGTTAAATGTATTTCATCGGTTCTTACTGTGTCAGGTAAAATCAAGTAGGAAATGTATCATTTTCATATGTAAGGATCTGTGAGGAGAAGAGCTTGTCAGACCTGAGTAGAACCAGCCAATTATAGATTGTGGAGTGAGTGTGCTGTGATGGTGGACCTATAAGGGAAACATGATAAATCTTGTGGCTTCTTTGTCAAGCTGTCAGTTAGGGTCAGTTAGCAACAGAGGAATGGTTGGAGGTTGGAATAAACAGGGAAAGTAAGTGAGAGAGGGAGTTTTGGTTTCATGGGAGCTGAAAGCATGGAAAGAGATTATTTGATCTTACTAAAGTGTATTGTGTATGGAGCTGGGTTAATTCTGCAAGTTTGACTGGTGTGTTACATAATGAATTTTACTACTTTGTTGTTTAACACTGTGCAAACAAGATTTTCATTTAAAAAAATTAACAAGGAGAATTGGTTATGCATTACCCAATCGAACCCACCACTAGTGCATTTACTTGTCCAGCATAAATAAGCATCATTAATTCTAAGCACGAGCAATGGACTATTTAGAGCTGTGGTTCTTAACCTGTGGGCCACAGACCACCAGTGAGCTGCAAGGATGAAAATCTGGTCCATGAGCATCCTTCCTCTTTATTTTATTTTATTTCTGCTCCTTTCACACTGCTTGCCATTCTTTCCCTGTTGCTGCCCAGCCCCAACCCCTTGGATACACCACATCAGCTCTAAATTATTAAATATGGTTTTCTGTGGGTGAGCAGATGGTGACTATGAGATGGCATATGTTCTGTATCAGAAAGTAGAGCTGATGTGGTTTATCCAATGCAATTTTCTGAATCAGCACCCCAAATAAACAAAGCAAATCTGAAGTTGACTAAAAACCAATTTGTAACCCTTTTGGTACTAATGTCAAAGTGGTCCCTGGACAAAGTGGTCCCTGGTCAAGTGGTCCCTGGTCAAAAGAGGTTTGGTAACCACTATTTTAGAGCATAGGGTGAGAAATAGGAGGCCAGAGATTAGGGCCACAAGGATAACATGGAGAGAAGGATCCATCTCTTAGCTCTTGTCAGTTTTTCTTCACCTCAAGTCTCCTGGAAGTGCAGTCTTTTGTGACAACTGATCAATACTTTATTTTTCTTTGCAAATACTTTATAAAAAGCTCTTTTGTGGTGAAATATAAGTATTTGGGTCCTGGGATTTGATCTTCGGTTTTGATTGCAAGACTTCTCCATTTTACTTCTATATTTCCCTGTCATGGGATCTGTTGCCATATTTCAATTACAAAACAAACACTGGTTTCCTTGTATCACAGTCTAAAAGGTAGGCTAGAAAATGCCTAGAAGTGCTTTGAATGGAAAACTCTGTATGATCACTTGGAAATAATGGCATGATGTCTATATGATAAGGTGCCATAATAGTACTTGCATACAAAGCCATATAGAACTACCATTAATTGGACTTATGAAATTAGAAATGTCAGGAATAAATCTGTGATCTTTTATTCTTGTTCAGTGTTATTTTTTGTTTTGAAAATAAAATAACAAAATTATGCAGATGTATTCAAACTGAGAGTGCAATTTGCATTCTTGCCTGTTCTTTCAGGTCAGGCAAATTTAATTTTAGCTGCTACGGGGAGAAAAACTGTCAACTAAAGGGTGTTTCATTTCCTTGAAACAAACAATACATTTTAGCAATAACCACAAACAATCAACTCAGAGGCAACTTGTTATAAATCCTTTCTGAAACAAAATGATCTCAAGCTTTGTAATCTGAAGAAATTGCAAAAGAACGCACACACGCTGCTGCACAGCTAGAATCAATCTATTATTTTTATTCTCCTCTCGATATTTACAGCTTTAGTATCCTAGGATGCCTGTTTCTCCATTATAATCTTATGTTTTCCTGGGATGCAAAATCTTTAATCCTTTTAAGCAACCTCTGGGCTTTACCAGCAGAGATCAGAGGGACCTGCATGCTCTTGAAAACACAGCTTTGATGGACTAAAATAAAGCATGTTTCATAAGAATAATGTGGCAGCACTTCACAAATAATGCTGCAGTTTGGAAATATACTTGGAAGTGTTGCGCTGGCTCTAGATTAAAGTAATGTGGAATAAGAGGATGAAAATAAATCAGCTTAAAGTTACAGGAAGACTACCTTACTGTAATGCACAGAGAGTAGCTATATAGGTAGAGTACCATTTTTCACATGCTTCTCATATTCCAACTTAACTTGAGTTGGACAAAACTGAATGATCAAGCTCTTCATAATGTCTCAGATTTTCTGCCTCAGTCCTTGCCAAAAGTAAGCTTATCTGAAGGTCATTGGCTTGAAAAGACATGCTGTAATGACTATGATTTTGAGACAGTGGTTCTAAAGGTAAGTCACCTGTCACTGACTTGAGACAAGCCGCAGCTTTATGTCATTGGTAGGGCTATATCAAATATCCATGGTTGTTACTTTAAAATCTATTATCACACCTTGTGTCCAATTCAACAAAGCCAACAGTAATTGTTTATTGACAGTATTGCAGTGGTCTATTGTGATTCCATCCTTCTGACCATTAATTCATCCTGCTGGATTTGAGTGTGTGTATTCAAAGGCGAATGGCTAGGACAGAATGGGCCTGTTGTTCGCTATTCATGCTGATGCTCAACCAGTTCCTTTCTTGAGCTATTTGGGAACTGATGCTTGTTGTGCTGGAATACACACAGGGAGACATTTCAAGACAGGGTTCTTGCCTTGAAATCCTGAGAACTGGAGAAAGAAGGCCAGGTCCTGATATTTGCAGTGCAAGGTGTGGCCCACCAGACATTGCTGTATTGATACTTCCATGATGCTCCCTCACCATTGGCCTACTGGATGGGGCTGAAGGAAATTTTGCATTGCTCCATGTGTACAAGAAAGCATAAGATTTTATTCTAAAGTGGAACTAACCCATTGGCTGATATGCTGTTCCTCATTATTTTTCAGGTATATAAAAAGAAAACTGAAGCTGCTAAGAAGGAATATCTCAAGCAGCTAGCAGCTTACAGAGCAAGTCTTGTATCCAAGGTAATACCTGATATAGGCTGTGTTTTATTTAATATTTTGATTTAAGTCATCCAGTGAAAATGTTTGTGAGGCTATAGACATAAATACAAAAAGACAGACAGATGGGGAAGGGAGGGAGGAGTAAATTATAGCTGTTGCAGACACTTGTGTGTTATTCAGATCTGCAACATGTTATTTCTCTTATATTTTTAGGTTAATTCTGTGAATTGCTTTTCAGTATAAATGACATGCTGAGTAATCAGTGTTGCATGCCCTATCCCTTTCTTCTGATGGAGTTTCTGTATCTGGAGTAGGCAGAGTTTGGATCATGGACCACATGCAGGATAGTTTTTGTGGCCTCTAAGACTCCTAAGGGGATGAAAATGGCATTTCTACCCATGTCCAGACACCCAGTTGTCAAACAAAAATTATGCAATTTGTTTCAATTTTGTATCTCTAAATTACCCCTAGAGGGCACAAGAGGGGCACTTGCTCCATGTTCCTCCCCCATGCCAATTTAGGACTGGGGGGGGGGGGGGTTGAAACAGGAAGCGAACAAGACAGAACTCTCCTCCAATTTATTTGGAAGGAGCATGTACAGATCTTAATCTCCATGGTGATTCATAGAGGGAGATGTGCGCAGACAGGTAAACTGGGCCGTTTAGGGTTTTATAGACCAAAGACAGCACTTTGAATTGTGTTTGGTAGCGAACTGGCAGCCAGTGGAGCTGACGCAACATGCAAGTTGAATTCTGAATATTGACTTGCTGTAAAATTCAGTCTTATATGTTTCAAAATATAATTTGTATGTACAATCCCATTAAGAATGATGCACTCTTTGATAAACTGAATAAAATAGAATGTATAGGTTGGAATCACAGGTGTCAGAAAGTCATTAACATATGTTTAAGGTGCCCCCTTGCACTTTAATTGCTTGTGCCACATCCCATGTATTTTATCTACATGAGGCTGACCTTGGAAGCATCTGCTTTCAAGATTGATGTGATGTGTTTTCTGAGATGGCATTGGTTGTAACGATTACTGTAATGTGTTGCAAGCATTAACATATTGATGCATCAAGACATTCATGCCTATAAAAAACATACATATTCAACTAAAACATCTTAGAATGAGAGGCATTTCTGGAAAAGTCTAAAATGTGCTATTTCAGTGCTGTAGACTTTTTTCTTCCCTGTTGTTGTTGATAGGATTACTGGTAGTGTCAAGGTACCACTGTTTGTTCTGAACTGGAGGATGGAGGAGGGAGGGGGTTCCATTAACCGGGGAGCCCCCATAGAAGTCGTGGTGGGGAGGGGGAGATACGGGAAAGGGAGACCTTTAATTCGACCTAGGGAACGGGGAACAACTTTAGTAATCCCAAATCGGTCTCCTGATATGGTAAGTCGGTGTAACCAGGATGGCGGTCCCTCTGAATTGAAAGTGGTGCTGTTGAACGCCAGATCTGTCAACGGTAAAACAACTTTCATCCAGGATTTAATCCTGGATGAACGGGCAGATCTGGCGTGCATCACAGAGACCTGGTTGGACGAAGCGGGAGGTGTAAATTTAACCCAGCTTTGCCCACCAGGTTTCTCTGTGCAGCACCAACCGAGATCCGGAGGGCGGGGAGGCGGAGTTGCAGTGGTCTATAGAGACACCATTCTTCTGACCAGGGCCCCCATCCCGCAGTCAACAAAATTTGAATGCGTCCACCTGAAGGTGGGTGACCGGGACAGATTAGGGATTCTGTTAGTGTACCGTCCACCTCGCTGCACTACAGACTCCCTGACTGAGCTAGCAGGGGTGGTCTCGGACCTGGTGTTGGAGTCCCAACGGCTGCTTGTGCTGGGGGACTTCAATATCCACGAGTCCGCCTCTTCGGGAGCGGCTCAGGACTTCATGTCTACCATGGCAACCATGGGGCTGTCCCAACAAGTATCTGGCCCCACCCACAGTGCTGGACATACATTGGACTTGGTTTTCTGCCAGGGATGGGAGGAAGGTGGCGGTGTTGAGGAGTTATCCATCTCTCCATTGCCATGGACCGACCACCACCTGGTCAGCTTTAGACTCACTGCACCCCCAACCTCCGCAGAGGTGGAGGACCCATTAAATTGGTCCGCCCCAGGAGGCTTATGGATCCGGATGGATTCCTGATGGCTCTTGGGGAATTTCCCGCCACCTCGGTTGGTGATCCTGTTGATGCTCTGGTCGCTCTCTGGAATGGGGAGATGACTAGGGCAATAGACACGATCGCTCCAGAACGTCCCCTCTCAAGTAGCCGAGCTAAACCAGCTCCTTGGTTCACCGAGGAGCTGGCAGCGTTGAAGCGAAAGAAGAGGGAACTGGAGAGCGTGTGGCGTTCGGATCCGAGCGAGCCAAACCGAACACGGTTTGTGTCCTTAAGGGCATATGCCGCGGCAATAAAGGACGCAAAGAAAACCTTCTTTGCGGCCACTATTGCGTCTGCGAAGAACCGTCCGGCTGAACTGTTCCGAGTTGTCAGAGGCCTATTAAAACCCGCCACTCAGGATGGGTGCCCTGATGACTCGGCAGCTCGCTGCGAAGCTTTTGCTCGGTTCTTCGCAGACAAAGTCGCTTTGATCCGCTCTGGACTGGATACCATATTAACGGCAGTATCTGAGGATGTAACACGAGCATCTGCTTGTCCGGGTTTGATGGATTCATTTCAATTGGTTCAATCCGAGGATGTGGACAAGGTGCTTGGAGGAATGAGAGCTACCACATGCATCCTAGACCCCTGCCCATCCTGGCTTCTGAAGGAGGCCAGAGGGGGATTGGCCGAGTGGGTGAAGGTGGTGGTTAATGCCTCCCTTCGGGAAGGCAAAATTCCAGCCAGCTTAAAGCAAGCTGTGATAAAACCGCTGTTGAAGAAACCATCACTGGACCCCACTCAATTCGTCAACTATCGGCCTGTTTCCAATCTCCCCTTTTTGGGCAAAGTCATGGAACGTGTGGTGGCCTCACAACTCCAGGCATTCTTGGTAGACACGGATTATCTGGATCCGGCACAGTCTGGTGTTAGGCCGGGGCATGGTACCGAGACAGCCTTGGTCGCCTTAGTGGATGATCTGCGTCGGGAGCTCGACAGGGGGAGTGTGTCCCTGTTGGTGCTGCTCGACCTCTCAGCGGCCTTCGATACCGTCGACCACGGTATCCTTCTGGGACGCCTCGCGGGGATGGGTCTTGGAGGTACTGTTCTGCAGTGGCTCCGCTCATTCCTCGAGGGTCGGTCTCAGAAGGTGTTACTGGGAGACTCCTGTTCAACCCCACAACCTTTGTCTTGTGGGGTTCCTCAGGGTTCAATACTGTCTCCCATGTTGTTTAACATCTACATGAAGCCGCTGGGCGAGATCATCCGGAGTGCGATGTCATCTGTACGCAGATGATGTCCAACTCTGTCACTCCTTTCCACCTGCTACTAAGGAGGCTGTCGAGGTCCTGAACCGGTGCTTGGCCGCTGTGACGGTCTGGATGGGGGCGAACAAATTGAAATTGAATCCAGACAAGACAGAGGTACTCCTGGTTAGTCGCAAGGCCGAACAGGTATAGGGTTACAGCCTGTGTTAGACGGGGTCGCACTCCCCCTGAAGACGCAGGTTCGCAGTTTGGGTGTGATCCTGGACTCATCGCTGAGCCTGGAACCCCAGGTTTCGGCGGTGACCAGGGGAGCATTCGCACAGTTAAAACTCGTGCGCCAACTGCGCCCGTACCTTGGGAAGTCTGACTTGGCCACGGTAGTCCACGCTCTGGTTACATCCCGCCTTGATTACTGCAACGCTCTCTACGTGGGGTTGCCTTTGAAGACAGTCCGGAAGCTCCAACTAGTCCAACGGGCGGCAGCCATGATTCTAACAGGAGCGGGGCGCAGGGAGCATACAACTCCTCTGCTGAACCAGCTCCACTGGCTGCCGATATGCTACCGGGCTCAATTCAAAGTGCTGGCGTTGGCCTTTAAAGCCCTAAACGGTTCTGGCCCAACTTATCTATCCGAACGTATCTCAGCCTATCAGCCCACCAGGACCCTAAGATCTTCTGGAGAGTCCCTTCTCTCTATCCCTCCAGCTTCAGAAGTGCGGCTGGCGGGAACGAGAGACAGGGCCTTCTCTGTGGTGGCCCCCCGGCTTTGGAACACCCTCCCTATAGAGGTACGATCAGCCTCTTCGCTGATGGTGTTTAGGAAGAGATTGAAAACATGGTTGTTTAAACAAGCATTCGGCTAATCTGTGGCAATCGAATTTTGGTGACTAAGGACAGGAAATTATGGACAACGAATTCTGGATTATGATTTTAATTCGAGATACATGGGATTATTATTGGTGGCCCAATAATCTGTACTGTATGTGTATATGTTTTTAAATTGGAGACTGTTTTTAATTGCTGTAAACCGCAATGAGTCGCCGATCCAGGCTGAGATATTAGCGGTATACAAGTGTATTAAATAAATAAATAAAATAAATAAACTGTTGCTATCAATGTGCAGTAGTCTACATCTTATAAGGTTTCCAGAGCTTTTCTCAAAAGCCTTTTCTCCATTGGAATTACTGAAATTAATGGTGCTATGGCCAAGCTGTTTGATGTCTGTGGAAATAAATATATAAAAGGAGAATATCACATTACAAAGCATTTTATATAATGCTATTCAGATTATGATATTATTTATAATACTGACTAAGCTTTTCAGTTGCCCCCAGTTGCAACTTTTATTACTTTTGCAAGTAGTTTGTAAAGCAAATTGTACAGCAGTATTTAAAAATGCTGTGAATTGCATTTTTGGCTTTGAAAAAACAAGCAATTTTATTGCTTACCATGGCTTTTTTGTATGTGAGATTCAAGCTGACAGTAGGATTTGTTACTTTACCTGTTCAGAAGGCAGTTTCCAGCAGCTTTTGATCTAAAAACTAATATCAAGCTCTTTCCAAAAATTATGTCTTACTCAGACCAAGTTATCTTCAACACACAATACAGATAGTGTTTAGATGTGCTCTTGGAATTTCAAT